TATATATATATATATATATATATATATATATATATATATATATATATATATATATATATATATATATAGTAAAATGTTTTTTTAGTTCTCTTAATCATTGTAGTTTTGTACATTTTGAATATTGCGTATATGGGTTTCGAGGAAAGGTATCGAATATAGTTGACACTAAGAAAAAAACAATGATATTTTGATGCGATTATATATATTAAAAGTCAAATTTAATTTAAGATAAATTTTGGCATAAAAATATTGATGATGCAAAATCTTTAGAATCAAATTTTTCTTCATCATTGGTTGAGTTAGTGCACATGGATCAAGCACTAATCTAGCTGATTTTTATCAAAAAAATTTTGAAGTTATTTTGTTGCCATATTTTTAGATGATATGATTTTTAAATAATAGCAATAGATTTCATTAATAACAGTAATAAAATAAATCAAAATTATAATATATTCAAAGAAAAATTTGAAACAATGGTAAAAAAAACATTCATAAAACAAAAATATTAAACCCAAACGTATGACGAAAAATGAAACATTCTATTGAAAATAACGTCACACATAAAAAGAAACCAATAACCTTCATAAAACTCATTCTCTTTGTTGAACGAGATGCTTTATGAAGTGATAAATGAGTGATGAGCGAGCAAAACAATTTGATAAACTGATTTGAAGCACAATTCTGGTTATATCGACAAACATCATTTTACTAAAGAGGAGATCTGAAAATACGTGACCTCTGACAAACCAATTTAAAAAAAATTAATGTTGAGAGAATCTTTGTGCGAGCATCAACATGACCATATAGATATGCTAAAAACGTACCAAAAAGTCATAAGAAACGTGCCACAAGAGCAGAGAAAAAGTGTGACACAAGAGCAAAGAAAAACGTGTTACAAGGATTGAGATTCTCATTTAAAATTGGAAAAAACTCAAGAAAAGAAAGAAAAACAAAGGACATAATATGATAAAGAACAAGAAAAATAATAATCACTGACGGTCGATAATCAATATTAAAATTGGTGTCGCCTACGACTAAACAACAATTAAAAGTAAAGAAGAAGGCAACACACAAATATTGAGAGAAAATTTAGATTAGAGAAAGATGATTTAAAAGAAAATAATTTTATAGAAGGATGTGTTTTGAATATAAATATGAAATTTATATAAAATTCTCATTGGTTTGGGAACCAAAAACTTTGCATTGATTTATCATGAAGATTTAATATACTTGAATGATATTTTTATGAAAGATAAATATTGCAGATAGAAGATTCTCAAGTAACCGTTTGACAAAGTCAAGTTTAGCTTGTGAAAATTATTGTTTGAACAAGGACTTTATGGAAGGTTTGTTGTTCAGAAATGAATATTTGTCATGGAGGAGGAAGTTTTCGACCATCTTTAAGCCTCTTCCCCACCACGATATGGTGTAGTAAGTGATATGTATCCCTTTCCCTTCTATTCGCTGGAAGTGTAAAGCTCTTGAGCACCACGCGTCGCTACCTGCCTACCCCATGAAAAGCTTTGATTGGAGTAGGCCTAAAACCAGCCAGCACTCTAGTTGGCCCAACTAATCTATTAGCTATAACCTATTTGGGTCTCAACATGTGTAGCCGAGGCCCGTAAAACCGAGTCTGCTGAATTAGGCTTGCTTAGGCCCATGTTTTGAGCCTAACCCAAGAAAGCGGGGTTGTGGCTAGGGATGACAATTTTATCTAGATCCAATGGATTTTGACCTATTCTGACCCGATCCAACCTGATAAGAGTAGTTTTTCTTTTAAAATTTGGGTTATAGTCTAGTTAGGTCGAATTTAGTATGTAGGATTTTTAGGTTTGGCTCATAGTCGGGTTTTAGGTAAAAAAATCTATCATGACTCGAATATTTTAAATTATATTATATATTTAACTTATTTACAAAAATATCACATGTTTAGTTTTTTAGTAAATTACGCATTTAATACATAAACTATTAGTTTTTGTCCATTTTAGTAATTAAACTTTTAATTTTTTTTCAAAACCATACATAATGTTTAATTTTCATTTCATTTTAGTAACCTACCATTAAAAACTTTAGTTTTTGTTTCATTTTAGTACACTGTTCAAAATTTAAAGTTAAGTTTTGAAAAAATTGAACGTTTAGGTAATGCAACAGACCAAAATTGATAGTTTAGATACTAAATGCTTTAAGTTTTTAACGGCAGAGTACTAAAATAAAATAAAAACTAAACATTAGGTATGATTTTGAAAAAAATTAAAAGTTTATGTACTAAAATAAACTAAAATATATAGTTTAGGTGCTGAATACGCACTTTATCCTTGTTTTTCATTTCATTCCCCTGCCTCTTCCTCTCTTTGTCGCAACTTCATCTCATCTCTCTCACTCAATGGTCGAATGATTGAAAACTTGGAGTTTATTTTTTGGTTTCATAAACTGCTCTCCTTTGTAGAGGGGTTTTTTTCCCCATAGAAACAAAAAACTAAAATTTAGAATTGATTTTCTATTTTAATAAAAATCTGAGATTTTTAGTTTGAGTTTATTGGATTTTTTTCTTTTTTGATTTTTGAGTAAAATTTCTTTAAAGTTTTTTTTGTTTTTTGAAAAATCCAATTTTTGTTTCTTTATTTTTTATTTCGCTTATTTTTTTTTTAATTTTGATTTGATTATTTGACTATGTTTAGTCTCTGTTGTATTCATCAAAATTTTCAAATAATAATTTATTATTTTTATTTGTTTACATAATTCATTTTGTGAGTATTATTGTCGTTGTTTAAATTTTATTTCTTCTTGTAGACTTGCTTTTCTTAGAGGTCGGACTTTTTCTTTTTGTTCAATGTAATTTTTTCGATAATATATGTCGGGTCGGAGTCAGATATATCATTAATTTTTGGAGTAGGAGTTGGAGCGGGTTAAATAATATTAAAATCAGGGTCGTGTCATAGTCAAATATGTTTTCATCATGTCGGGTCAAAGTCGGGGACATGCAAAAATCTGACTACTTGCCATCCCAAGTTGTGGCCCTAATTGATGATCTTGGACCGAATTGAACCGGAAGTAGACCAACTGGGTGAACTAAGCCATATTGAACCAACCTAAGCTAGACCAAATTATTGACTGAATTTGACTTGACTCATTTGACTCGTGAACCCGTTTAATCGTCCGACCCCTTTGACGAACGCAACCTAACTGTTGACTTGATTCATTGGCTTTAATTATTTACTGTTGATTCTGATTGTTGACCAATATTGACTTTTTCTGTTGACCTTTGATTTTATGTTTTTTGACATACAAGTCTATTTTTTTTATAGTATGTTTCACGAAATTCTTATTTGAAGCCTCATCTTACATCTTGCACTGGTTTAATTTCATTTATGATAGGAATACTCTAGAAATAGAGGACTTATTCATTGGCTTTATGTTATGGAGATGATCACTTATCTATGCATCACACCCTAGCATATGAATACCGCTTTTATTCAGGCTAGCTTGACTCAAGATGCGTAACGTTTTAAATTTCTGAGTTAACACATAAATGTTTACTCAAGGGATATATAGATTGAGAAGCCTTTATAATTGGATTCATTCGGTAAAATGTGAGCTTAATTGGATATAATTTGAGCTCGATTAATCTTCTTTCTCCCCAAACTCAATAGCTCAAAAGGTAGGTGTTAAGAGTTCTTTCATGCTTTCCATTGGCTTTAACTCATCATTGAGCTTTTTGTAACATCATTTGTATTAAGAAACCCTTACTTTTCACGTTTGGCTAGAGAAAGGGGTTGACAAAAATCAAGTGTTGAGGGAAGGGGAAAGTAAGAGTAGTGGAGTAAATTGTCAATTTAATCTCCAATTAACCAATTAAATAATATGAGTGAAATTTAGTTGTCTATTTCCACTCATCCAACAATCCGAAGTCCATGTAACAGTAAAAAAATTTATATCATAACCCTATATATATATTCCGCACGATTATTTTTCTTCTCTTCCACATTTCATTATTCCAATTTTCTTTCTTTCTACCAACCCTAAATTTGAATCTAACTGTGCTGGCCGAGGTTTGTATATATTAAAAAGGTTAATTCAAGCAAATGTTATCGAAAGACTTAAAAATGTTTTCAACTTTGAATTCAAAGATTTTATATCCAATTTAGTATTAAAACTTTTATTTTATCAACTATTTTGGTATTTATTATTAATTCCATTAAATCCATAACGCGAGACAATGACTTCGTCACCATAATATCATCGTATAAAAGATAATAAATATAAAAAAAACTTTAAAATGAGTAAAAATCTAAAATAATTAAATAAATTAACAAAAAACTGAAAGTATATTTAAACGTCCTAATAAAATCTATAAATGTTAAAAGTACGCACTTTAAAATAAAATAAAAAAAATTAAAATATCAAATTTTGTAAACTATATTATTTCATCAATGTTATATTGGTTTAAAAATTGTTTTTTTAAACTTTGAGAATTAGGTTTAAACGCTTTGAAATACGATTGATTTAAAATCTAAATAATAATTCGATAAGAGAGAGTATATCAATACCTATTAAAGATAACAAATATCCCCGGATAGCTCAACCATGATTTCAGTTTGTAAAATAACTTAGAGTAATTATAAAATAATATATATTCAACACCTTTCTTAATCAATAACAATATACACCCTATAATTCGAGATATGTTTGAACCCATAAATAGCTTAACCATTGTTTCATCTCTTTAGCTATTAAATTAGGATGACAAATCTTAATTAGATCATTTGTTACTATAAAAATATATTAAAATATGGTATACCAATAATAAATTTGATTTCAGAATATGTCATGTTTTCATTGATTGCATGGATTTGATAAATGGAAGCCAAGGTTTCCATTAATAATAGCATCTTTACATTGATTGTGTTCCTAAACTCCTTGCAAAAATTTTCAAACTAAAGACTAAAATATACTAGTATTTCTTGACCTAAAAATGGAGAAACCTAAAAACAAATAAAAAATTAAGGTAAATAAACAGCCATGGGACTCCTTACATGATAGTATCCATCGTCCCAACTATACCAACCAAACCCGTACTCCGAGTTCTTCACCATCAAGTCACTTTTAGGGGACACCGTAATGTTGAAACTCAGCTTCTCCCCTGTTCGTTTGAACGCCAAAATACTCGGCGTCGCCTCTATATGAACACCTAGTGGCGGTTTTGCAGAAAAGAAATATATACTTTTAGGTCTCCCGACATTCGTGACTGTCCTCATAAAGGTGACAGTGGTATTAAGGGAGGGAATTGCGAAGGATGGATAGTTGAGAGCGAGGGTTGAAGGCGGATTAGTCGGGCACTTGAATGTGGAGTTGAGTTCGACTAAGGCATTTGGACCAGCAGTACAAAGATAAAGGAGGTAGTCATTGTGCGTGGCATCATAAATAAGGCCAGGATCGACTGCCTTAGTTGGCCGAAAATGACCTGAACCGAATTGAAAGGGAGTTGCGTCGTCCCCGTTGGCGTCCGTAATTGGCTTGCCTAAATTGTTGGTTATGGCGGCTGTAACAGTGAAATATGCATTCAATTATTACTTATGATATCAAATCAACCAGGTATCTAGCTATAAATGAAACTTAAAGATACCTGTAGTCATAAGAGCAGACTTGATAGCAGCAACACTCCAATGAGGGTGTATGGCCTTGAGAAGAGCAGCCCCACCAGAGACATGAGGGCAAGCCATGGAAGTTCCGGAAAGTATGTTATATTTCACTGATCTATGATCGTCCGCAAGCTTTGTAGGAGACGATGCTTCGCTCCATGCTGCCAAAATATTAAGTCCTGGTGCCGTAATATCAGGCTATATCGTATATAAGATCAAGAAATCAAAAACCAATTAGTTAGAAGACAGCAAACAATCGAAGCCTAAGTGTAAAAAACTCACAAAGTACCTTTAGAATATAAGGATCAACCACATTTGGACCACGACTGGTGAATCCAGCCATGAAGGGGGCTGGCTTGTAGTTTAATTTCGTCTTTGCTGGATTGATCTTTGCCATTGGGTTCTTTGTAGAATTGATATATTCAAGAATCTTAATCCCATCATCATAAGACAAAGTAGTTGCAGGAAGAAAATGAGCATCGCATGTTATTTCATTTCCGTTGGTCTTGGCGTTGGCTAAGACAAAACCGACACCTCCAGCTCTTTTCACTTCCAAGCCTTTACTTACTCTCGCACCGACCCCTCTCGTGCACACCACAATCTTCCCTTTCACCTTGGTCGGGTCAAGTGAGCCAGGAAGACATTGCCTAAAATGAGATAATTAATAATCCGAAGATGCAAATAAATAAGTACAGAACAAAGAGAAAGGAAGTTACCCTGTTAAGTTTTGAGCCACACCGGGGACGATTACATCTCCGGCATAAACTAATGGGTGCATCTTCTTCAACTTGTTTGGCGTAACACTTTGTCCCTATAAAATTAAACCATAATATTCTAATACTATAATCTTTATATCTTGAAAGGAAAACTATAATGATTTCAATGTATGATCCGATGGTATCTTACTTGAAGACTCAATCCATTGTGTAACTTGACAGGTGCGGTAAATATCCGGTCGACGCTGCTTGCACCGACCGTGATTATCCACGGAGCAGGGTTCGACAATGTCCCAGGGGCAGGACCACTGTTCCCAGCACTGCATACGACAAGGATGTTGCGCTTGGAAGCCTCTAAGGCAGCGAGACCGATCACATCATTTTGAAAAGGTACAGGTTTTTCGGTTCCAATGGAGACGCTAATTATGTCAACCCCATCAGCTATGGCATCATCCAAAGCTGCAAGCATATCGGAATTGAAACAAGTGTTCCCATCGGCCTTGGGTTTGTTAGGGACTGCCCAGCAGGCCTTGTATATGGAAAGGCGAGCCAAAGGAGCACCGCCTGAAGCCGTGCCTTTTGCAAACCCACCAAAGGCGGCGGCGTCAGACACTTGTCGGCCCGCCGCTGTTGATGTAGTGTGCGTTCCATGGCCATCCGCGTCTCGCGGCGAGAGGAAGTCCTCTGTCGCATTTACCGACCCGTATTGAGCCTCGAAACCCTTTACATAGTATCGAGCTCCGATTATCTTCCTGTGTCAACCGGAATAAATATAACGCATATATATTAATATATTAAAATTTACAAAAAGTGAAAATAAATATAACACGAATAAATTAATTAATAGATTTAGAGATAAAAGATATAGTGACCTGTTGCAATTGGAAGAGTTAAAAGCGACACCTTCTTGGCAAATTCCTCTCCATGATTTCGGGATTGGATCCATTCCATGGTCGCTGAAGCTTGGTGATTCCGGCCATACACCTAACATTAAGACCCCAGAACAATAATGAAATTCTTTACTATAAAGTTTTCCGAGTAAAACAAAAGCAATAATGATCAAAGAAGTCGCACGAGTGATCGAAAAAGAGAGTATTCGAATTAATATGAAATTTTTTACCGCTATCCATTAATCCTATAATGACATCTTTGCCATATTTAGCTCTTAACGCCAAGTTTTCTCGTCCCATCTTAAGCTTTCTCCATGAGTGGCTATCTTCTTCATCTAACCCTACGAATTCCCAAGACCTTGTCGTCTGCACCGAGTACTGTCCATGTGAAGGGATCACCGATAAAACTTCTTCCATTTCTGTATGAGGGAAACCAAAGCATTTTAGGTATTAATTTACGATATAGTGATGAAAAATATGTAGCTAATCAGTTTACCAGACAACTTGGAGGCTTCAGCTGGTGTAAGTTTTGCAGCAAAGCCATTGATGGCATGTTTGTAGCTATAAAGAAGAGAAGATTTAGCATCTTCTTCGGATTCTTTTACTGAATGTAAGTATGAAAAATGAAATTTCTCAATCTCTTGCAAAATTTTCGCTCCATTGTTGTGTTGGCCGAAGTAAACTATATAGACCTACACAGACAACAAATATATATATATTTTACATAAAAATTAGCATTCCAAGTGAGAACTTCACTGCAGAATTCTGACGAAGAAAAGTAAAAAACGAAAGAGTCACGAGAAAAAAATAATATACCTTATTGTCAACAGAAGAGGCCAAGAGAGGAACAAGATTCAAGAGAAAAAGGAAACAAGCGATAGTAGTCTTCATCGCAAACGATAATACTGAGCACTGCACAATATCCTTCCAAGAGATAATGTAGTATTTATAAGCCTATTGAACAACAGTTTCAACTGATAATTATCAGATAAATATGGAATTAAAAGGTAATTCTATCATCTCAATCTCAATAATTATTAATTAATTAATTATAAAGGGGCTAGTTAGTGATGGAATTTATTCGCAACTCTAATTGTAAGGAGGTCAAGTCATGAATGTGTTCAGCAAATCCAATTACGGCAACCTTTAAATAACGATTTTATTTATATATCTCCTTAAAATAATGAATACGTGATTTATTAATTTCAGTGAAACAGAAATTGATTAATATCAGACAAAATTTATAGAATTGTAACTTCATGGAAAGAAGAAGTTGATTTAAATATGTTTGTTTGATAATGAATTTAAATTATTTTATCTTCAAATTTTTAATTCCATTAAATTTAAATATAACTAAGTGATAAAACATTTTTCTTATCGTTAAGCTGAAACCGTGGATGAGATATTCGTATAATAATGGTGAGGAGGCTTTGAGAATTTTCAAGTTTTAAGTTGTTTTTAAGATTTACTTTGATTTAATTTAAAACATTAAACCCACATAAATTAATAAGAAAGCATTTTTCTATTGAAAAAAAACTTTAATTTATTTAACCAACCCGACTGTTATGTAGTAAAAGATTGAAATGAACAATACGTTCAGTAATCTCGAACAATAGAATAAATATCACAAAGTTAAACCATTTTGTGAAGAAGCTAGATGTGCAGTCAGCTCAACACATTGTCTGAATGGTGGCGGATTGCTAGGGGAGCTGCTGGCTGTAAGGGAGTTCTTGGATCAGAATCCAGTCTTACTATTTCGGGACTATAAAGCGGGATTGTGGGTATGTTTGATTTTAGGCTTGCTGGTATTGATAACTTTAAGTTTGAAGTTCAATCTAAGATAGAGAATAATGGTTGCATTTTGATTGAAAAACAAGAATTTTATCTTTTGGTTGCGTTGAATCTTTGTATCTAATCTAATTTTTGGTTCTCCGTACTCTTTTTCTTTATTTAGGATTATATAGATTTTTAACGAAGCACGTAATTTGGTGCCAGACCCATATGAAATTTAATAAAATCAATTTGCCTAAAAAAATATTAGACCACCACAAGTTTTGAGTTTGTTTTTTAAAATTAGATCGATAATAAACCCAAATAAATTAATAAGAACGTGTTTTTATATGAAAACAAATCTTCAAATCAAAATAGAAGAATCAAAACATAATTTTATTAGCTTGATTTGTTAAAATGAAAAAAGAAAAATTTTCCAACAATCTTGATTTGAATTTGAAAACATAATTCTTTTCACAGTTAAAGAAATAAAAAACATTGACATATAATTCTTTTTGAAATAATTGATTAATAATTGTATATTGACAAGTTATATAAATTAAATGTTATGAATTTATTTTTTTCATAGTAAAATAATTTTATTAGGATAATAAGCAAGTCAAACTCTGATTGTATGCCTCGTTAAAAAAACCCTAATCTTAAATGAAGGGAAAGAGTACATAATGAAGATCCCACATAACAAACAACAAATCATATGATCTATCTCCAATAATACTAAAATATGATACCCATGACAAACCGCCACCTAAGGTATCCACAACTACACAACATACACACAAATAGACCCCATCGCCTCGTAAATAAATTACCTCAAATACACCGAGAAACAATACTTTCAAAGGTATGGATCATCCTAAATGTAGAATAGGGATTCATACTTGATTCGACTTACGTCGGAATCTGATAAGTCAGAAGGCGAAACTCCGATGGCTAAATAATTAACCATGTTCGCATACCATGGAAGGACTCTATGCGCCACATACAAATTTTCCTCTGGAAACTCTTCTTGAATCGACCTATCGAGTGTAGAGATCGATAACCGACTTAAATGATCGGCTACCAAGTTTTCACTCCCATTCTTTTCCTTGATTTCAAGATTAAAATCTTGTAAGAGTAAAATCTACCAGATTAAGCGCAGTTTTCCTCTTTCTTGCTTAGTAAGTGCTTTAAGGCTGTATGATCAGAAAAAAAAAACAACTATTTTAGTGGCAAGAAGATACGAACGAAAATTTTCTAAAGCAAAAATAATAACAAATAGTTTTTTTTTCTGTAGTAGAACAATTTCGTTGAGCCTCATTCAATGTCTTGGATACATAAGCTATAACTTGGGGCTCCTTGCCGATTTTGTCGAATTACGGCTCCCACACTCCAATTGCTTACATCACACATGATTTCGAAATGATAATCCCAATTGGGCAGATGAACGATGGCCCCGAAATAAGTTTCTCCTTCAAAATATCGAAAGATTCTTTGTATTATGGGTTAAAATTAAAGGTTATGTCCTTTTGTAACAAATTGCAAAGCGGTTGCGCCACTTTGGAAAAATATTTAATGAACCTGCGTTAAAAACCTATGTGACCAAGAAAAGAGTAAACTTCCCTCATAGTTATGGGGTATGAGAGTGAGCGAATTATATCGGTTGGCCTTGTCGATCGCAATTCCTTCAGAAGAAACAATATCGCCTAAAATCAAACCTTTATCAACCATGAAGTGACATTTTTCGTAGTTAAAAACAAGGTTAAAATCAAGGCATTGTTTCAAAATCTGAATCAAATTCAACAAACACTCACCAAAGGAGTTACCCTAAACAGTGAAGTTTTTTTTAATCTTCTGGTGCCACTAGGATCTGAAAAAACTTGAAAAGCAATCAAGACAACAATAATGAGATTTACTAGCTAATCGCTCAATCATTTGATCAACAAAAGGAAGTGAGAAATGGTCATTTCGAGTTAAAAATTCAACTTCATGTAATCTATACAAACTTGTCATCCATTTTGTACTCGTGTGGGTACAAGTTCATGTTCAGAATTTTTGACAATTATAACTCTAGTTTTTTAGGGAACACATGGACTAGACCTACCCAACTACTATCGGATATCAATTAGGTAGATCATGTCAGTATCTTAGTGTTTTGTTGGCATCTTAGTGTTTTCTTTGACTTTGATATTATGCATGCACGTTGATAGGCTAAGTCTTTTGATGTCGGCCATGGTCCATCCGATTGCTTCTTTGTAAGCTCGTAAGACTTTTATCAATTCTTCTTCCTCCTCCTCAGAAAGCTTGTGGAAATTATAACCGAGAAAATATCGTTATATCTAAAAAGTGCATACTTTAGGTGTTCCGGTAACTGTTTCAGCTCAATTTTCGATACCTACAAAATTGAAGGTAAAATTTTAGTTCTTGAAGAAGTTAGGCGTAAATATGAATAAACAGAAAAAAATATTTTCCAACTCCGTTATTTCGTCATCTTCATCATTTAATTCATTTCACAAATCATTGGATAAGTTATATAAATTCATCGACAAAAGGCTCATCAATATCAACAAAAGTAACGTTTCCCATAGAATCTGGATACTTCATTGCTTTATAAACATCAAATTTTACTACTTCATCGTCAAATCCATAGTAAGAATTTTGCTTCTAATGTCGACTTTATTCTGAGCTGTTCTTAGGAAGGGTCTTCTGAGTAGAATTTCAAAGGAGTTACTGGAATAATCATCTTCTATGTCATTGACATAGAAATCTGTAGAAAATATCAAGTCGTTTACCTTTACAAACACTTTCTCTAGAACTCCTTTGGGATATACCAAGGATCTATCGGTGAGCTAGATCATTACACCTGTTTCCTTCAAAGGCTTAACACTAAGTAAGTTATAAATAGACAAAGACATAACATTTATAGATGCACCCATATCACTCATAACATGTTTTATACCCACCTTAACAATTTTACAAGGGATAACAAACATATCTTGATCTTTGTACTTAGGTCGAATCTTAATTTGGATTACGACATAAATGTTTTCACCCAAGTTTACCTTTTCATTCCTGATAAGCTTTCGTTTGTTCATGCAAAGATCCTTGAAAAACCTCGCATACCGTGGAAACTTTTTTATAACATCAAAGAGAGGATGTTTATCTCAACCTTCTAAAAAAGGTCAATTATTTTCTCCTCCTCGTCTTGTTTTTAGAGTTTAGCCAATATTTCCAGAAATAGAGGCGGAACGACATAAGGTGATAGTGTGGACGATTTCGTAGGCAGTTTTGGTTCTTTTTTCTTATTATGGGAGTACGCGCTTACTTTCTATGGGATATTAGTTTCGATGATAATACCACTTCGAAGGGTTATGACACTGGTGTTTTGCCTTGAGTTTGGCTCGATTTTCGATAGTAGCTTCCTTTGGGGCTCTAAACGCCCCTTAGTCTAAGTTAATTGACTCATATATTTGTCCAACTCTTGTAAGTGAGCTTCAGTTTGGTTTTGAAACTTCTCATAGGATAACTCCAAATGTTCTACAATCATCTCCAATGACGATTTTTATGGTTGATACTGCTAAGGTGGAGATGGCCTCGGTTGATAGGCTTAATTTGGTCTGAGATTCGGGCTATAGTTAAAATTCAGAAGATCTCTCCACCCAGGATTATAAGTGTTGGTGTGTCGGGTATATG